ACCACTGTGTCGATAAGCAACTGGCGTGTGACTCGGAGTAGGACCACAACGATCAAAATAAAGTATCGTAAAGAATGCCGTTTAGAGTTTTTTCCAGTACGAATGAAACGAGCCTTTTGACCACAACCGTTTCACGCGAATAAATCGAAGCATCTACTAACATGCAAAGAATAACAGATGTTCGGACAAGAATAAATGCTAGTTAACCTGACAATCATCTTCATCAAAGCTTTGGCTTTCTGTAGCTGTGTGGTTTTATGTGTTCGACAAGATTAGGGTGATTCAGGGCCTCGCTCCAAATTCGTTTTTGGTCAAAATTCGCATCGTCGCTGCTTGGCTTCGAACGCCGCTGTTCGCACAAGCACAAATCAAAATGAATGGTGCCGGTGAACGCCAACGTTGGAACGTAATCTTCGTTCTCGGCCCTCCCGGTTGCGGCAAAGGGACTCACTGCAAGAAACTCGTTGAGGTAGAAATTTTAGCAGTGGCAGGTTAGAGGTGATGTCTGACTGTGTAAATGCTTGCCTCAGAAATACGGAGTTGTTCATCTGAGTGCCGGTGATCTTCTAAGAGAGGAACGCCAGCGACCGCAGTCCAAATACGGCGAGCTTATCGAGACACACATCAGAAATGGTACCATCGTCCCGGTGGAGATCACTTGTAAACTTTTAGAGAACGTAAGTGACAGATTATTAATTTGGTTTATTAAAAGTTGTTTTTCATGGCTGTGGACTGCAAGTCTATCGGTAATAGTTATCTCGTTATTCATTTTGCTGAATTCGTGGATCTTCGGATAGCTGTGACGTGCCCAAGCCAGGGATTCACCTTGCTTCCTTCCAAGGTTAATGAATGGCTATCATTCTGCTGTAGAGAAATAGCAAAATACACACTATACCGGCCACATGGCTGCTACTGACTCAGCTTTTGAAATAAATCACTCCTAGCTAGTTGTAGATGAGTTGAAATGAAAATCACTACCCCACAGTTAGCTGCATGAAATTGCTGACGACGTTCCAGCAGTCGCAGTCTTTTCTTTTCCGTTCTTTGGTGTTGTTCGTTTGCGTTTCTGTTATCTTCCGATGACAGCGGACCAACTTTAAGTCGAACATATTTAATGAGATATATATTCCAAGCAGAGATGCTGCAAACATTAAAAGTAATTGACTTATAGCTTATTTACATATCTAATATCAGAATGTTATGTCACGCTTTGAATTACATATTTTTTCTTTATTTTCAAGTACTTTTGATCTTGAGCCAGTATTTTCTACAGTAAATATATGCATTATGTAGCAAACACAACAGGAACTTCCCCCTTTGCTGTTTTGTCGCGTTGAATAAGAAGGTATATGGTGAATTTAAAACGAATTGTTGCCGTAGGGGATGGTCGCATCAGACCTTATGGCGGTGCTTCTCGCCCAGTCTACTATGACCACGCCTGAGCGTCATGCTGGTCTTGCCCTTGTTCACAAGTCAGCGACTTGTTACCCATTTCTGAGGTAGTTGCACCGAAGCAACGTGGCGTCAAATCAGAACTTAAAGGAATTATCGATTAGACAAATTGTGTGTTTCTCTGAACCGGATGCTACGGTCAGACACAAAGTCGTAAAACAGCCATGGTGAAGTTTTACTTAACGACACCTGCGTTATATTACTGAATA